TGAGTCAATATTGTTGGTAAGGTAACGTTAAACCATGCCGCTAATACCTGGGTAGTTTGGTTCGGATCGGCATCCACCATCTCTGTCAATTCATTGTTATTCACTTGTGTGGGCGATCTTCCACGTGGTTCGTTCTTCAAATCAAAATTTCCATTACAAAAGCGTTTAAACCAAAATCGCACGGTGCGTTCATTAACAGTCCCCTCTCCAAACGCGACATTACACGACACGACACGACAAACGATAGTGCGAGCTGTTTCTGCAGCGTTGGTTCCGCGTCGGAACTCGTGTTTAAAAACCACTCGAATTTTCGAAGTATTTATCTTTCTTGAATAAGCTGAATAAAAAAACAACTGAAAGTCGATAATCGATTGTTGCACATTTTAAAAGAAGAACCTCATGGGTACTATTTGAAAAAAGTCACTTAAAAATCACAAACCATGAAGATTCTATGTCAATTCGAAATACCTATTACAATAAAACGGCAATTTCATACTTTAACCCCTAATATTTTATATATAATTTTGGTTAAATAGGAATATAAGTTTTAATGCTTCCCAATTTAGTTGTAAACGATGACAGATTATATTTCTAGAGATTTGGTTTATTTTCTATCACTTCCACTAAAAGGCGATGGACAACCACTTTAGTATAAACAACTAAATCATAAAGAATTACATACAACACAAAAATTGTATAATTCGATGATTATAATGCATCTAAAGGGTTTACTAATTTATGACTAATAAACAGTTCATCAAATTGAATACAGGTGTGAGTACTGATAAAGAAAATGCCTTGGGAATATTACTTGACGAAGTCTCTATCAACGAACACTTGGTATGTGGGATAACTACATTGTATCTGTAAGATGTGTTAATCATGCACAGCTTGGAGATATTCTTTCGTTTATTTAACAGATACTCGATTTGTTTTTACAAAATTCATACATTACAGTACAGTATACATATACTATATATACAGAACAAATATATAAGAAATATAAATTTTTAAGCTTCACTTCACCGCTAAATAAACTCTTACTTGTTAATGGTTCTTTTTTAGAATTCATTGATTTATATATTTCGAAATTATCTATTCTTCTATTGTTGGAAGAAAAAAAATGTAAAAAAATTAATTAAAAAATTCAAAAATTGGAAAAAATGTATGATGCAGCAATGAAAAAAAAATTGTTTGAAACACCGTCCTCATCTTAGAACAATCGCACTTAACACCTTGGAATAAAGTTCATCCCTCCATCCATCATGCCTAAAACCAGTGCGTTTCCAGCTTTTATGTTTTCATGTTTGCCATCAACTAAACCACTCGAGATAGAACAGATGGAAAATAATGAACCTTCCTCCACAGTATTTTCTGAGCGCTGTCACATATGAGATTTTTTTAAATCCTCATCATAAGACAAATACCTTTTGTGCTCTCAGTATTACTGACTTTCATAAGTAATTGGCATTGATTTCATAAGCATTGACAACTTAAATTCAAATGGGTTATATATTTGCTGGCTTTCCTTAGCGATCATGAATAATTATATAAATGACTATGTTAAATTCATTCATGCAATCAAAACGTAACTGTGTATTACTACTAATATAATAAATGAAAAAGTGAGTTTGTTTGCTGCGTCATTTACGTTTTAACTACTCAACCATTCATCATGAAAATATATTGTTGGGGGTATAGAAAATAACATACGGTACATTTCAATCAAATACAAGGTACCGTTTACAAGCGATGTTTTTTTAAAATACTTTAACGCAAATGAAGGTGCGCGTAAATGTTACTTTATACATGAATCTAAACTAAATACAAAAAAGGATAAAAAATGCACGCTTAACTTAAATTTAACTCTGTGAGCTAGCGGAATGGGATTGTCGTTTTTTTAAATATTCGATATTAGTATTGTTACACCGGAAAAAGTAACGCCATCTATTGCCGAATAGGCTAACAAATATCGAATGATCTAGTAACATCTAGAACGCTCGAGAAGTACAACGCCATCTATTGTCATATAGCGTAAAGACATCGAAGGTACTCGACTTGTGAGAAATGTTCTCGACGATTCTAGGGATGTCGTATTGACTATAAAAGCGTTGCAGAGATGGCACGCAATCAGTCAGTAATCGGAACTACTCGAAGCGAAACAGCGAACGGATCACCGAAAGCGAAGCGGAAGAAGCAAATTGAGAATTTCAAAGTGTTCTGTGTGTGTTCTAACTGATAAATACAGTTTTAAATTGTAAATCAGTAGAATTTTGTTTATCCTGACCTCCACCGCGCAACAGTATTAAGTTACAAGGAACGAACAAACAAAAACAATAACAACAAAAAATGCACAAAATTTAACAAATCACAAACAATCACAAAGAAATCGATTAAAATTTTAATTGAAACGTTGGTTGTTAACTAGTTGTTTAAATGTAGTTTTGTTATTATTTATAATATAATAATGTATTTCTAATTCTAGCTCAAGAGAATAGTTTTGGAATTCAGGATTGTTAATGTGAGTATTATACGTAGTCTGAAACTCTTTGACAAGCAATAAACGTCCAGACTGTACTGGACCCATTCCAACACAAGTAGAAGGCAAACTTAAATGATTACAAATACCAATTCTTAGCGGATTGATTCGGTAACATAGAATATCTTGAACTTTTTTTATTGCCAATAAACGGATACAGTGTAACATTACTTAATTCTGTTATTAGCAGGGTATCTATTGTTTTTAAAGAATTTCTCAGTTCTGACAAATAAATTCCGCGAATACAAAGAATTGTGGAACTGTCGAAGCCCAAGAAGAAAAGAATCCAATAATGTAACAGAATGGAACTTAAATTTCTTTTATTCTTTCACAGTAGCAAAATTGTTTGATATCATTGTAATTAATTAGTTTCAAGAGACACATGTATTTCAAAATTTAATCTATGTATGTTGGTTTCCTAGTGCCACTTACTTGATACAACTTATCGCTTAGAACAATTAGCTTGTAAGAGATTGTATCAATTTTTTCTTTAAAATATTCATAAACTTTTGAGAAGAAACAGATGCATTTTAAGCCTACGTAACGCTGTTATTTTGTTCATGATTACTTTCGACACAGTACAATCTTAGATTATNATTTCAAAATTTAATCTATGTATGTTGGTTTCCTAGTGCCACTTACTTGATACAACTTATCGCTTAGAACAATTAGCTTGTAAGAGATTGTATCAATTTTTTCTTTAAAATATTCATAAACTTTTGAGAAGAAACAGATGCATTTTAAGCCTACGTAACGCTGTTATTTTGTTCATGATTACTTTCGACACAGTACAATCTTAGATTATTTTTTTTTCGACTCCTAAGAGTAAAGAAGTCTACAATTAATTAATTTTACAAAAAGGTTAAAAAAAATTATTCAATATTTATCAATCAATTGACCACGGCTATTCTATCCATTATTAGAAGCAAAAAAGCTCATAAAAAACCGATGTCTATGACTTAAGCTTTCTTAAGATGAATCTTTTCAGTTAGATGATATGGCATCAGTGTTACGCTTAGACAGCTTATAATCACTGTTCTGCTTGTTTTTGCAAGAGGCAACCACGCGTTTCTGTCTGGAAATAAGTCACTATTCTAATGTAACTCAAACCGAAGAACGCAATACGATCCCGCACGGTTAGATACAATCCCACCTATTTATAACTCTAAGAAACAATGTGACATTGAACAGAACAACTTCTATGCAATGCAATTAAGATTTCGACTGTATCTCAAGGATCTTGCGTTGCGATATCTTTTGGATCTAACAACCGATTAATAGCAGAGAGGTTTGTGGGGTCGTTAATATTATCTTCTTCTTTTTCTTGCTGCCCCTATCCCATATTACGTGAGATCGGCGCAGCATGTCCCATTATGAAGTTTCACAGAGATTTGGTATGAGTTTTACCACTTGTCTGACGTCAATCCTCCATAGGTTATTTCTACAATAGTATATTCATTTCAGCATGCCATAGGCTTTTCTGTTTCTTCTTTTAATGTTTCTTTTACCACATCCGTTTTTACTTTCATGATTAGCATTCTAGATTAGATCTACAAAAAACAAAAAAGCTTGATGTCTCAAGATAGATAGCTGCTTGGTCCCAATGTTATCCGGTAACCGCCGAAAATCAGTTGGGAGTAATCCTGACTATACCTACGAGCTAGAAATCTTGATATAATTCAAATATAACACCTCAATATTTCATTCCGGTGCTGTCGACGATAGAATGCGCACCGCTCTTATGGTAAGTGGATGCCACCGCCCACGTTCATCGCCAATTCCCAGCTGCATAACATTCGTACAGTCCATGGTAAACAAACGAAGATTCAAAAGCGCTTGTGAAAGTTTTATTATTATTTTTGAATCGTTACATATCTGCTGGCATTTGAAACACAACTTTACGAAATTTGCTTTGAATACCGAAGCAAAAGATATTTTTTTTAGAAATTTATTGTTAAAATAACAGTTTGGTGAAAATTTGAGTTTTATTTAGTACTCATATTTTTTACTTTACAAATAAACGAACGGGCTCAGACTATTTAAATAGAATTGGCTATGTGCTTTATGAAGCTTTTTAACTTTACATACACAAGTTAACTTACGTTACGACCTACCCGTTATTGAGTGGTTATCGGGGTCATCACAACTAGAAAGCCGAGAAAAAAATTCACTTCCAAACAAAAGATGTAGTTTACTGAATGTTCAAAAAATGCTCAATGATGGAGGTATCTTAATAAATTATAAGCTTTTGGTGTATTGAGTCAGACGTGGAATGCAAATACCTGCTAGCCCTTAAGTAAATTCGATCCTCAATCACGCGAAGAGAAAACCTTCACACATTACAACTTGTGCTCAACTAAAATACGCAAGGGAAAGTGAATGTGAAAAACTAATTACCTTTTGAATAAACGTATGCATTCGCATTCTAGTACTATCACTATAATCACAATATCAGCGTGCAGGCAGTATCACGCTGACAGCGGCGTCGGTCGGACGCGGCCGGTTGCTTTGTCGAATACGAATTTATAGAGTTGCGCGATCGTGAAGTGAAAATATAAAGAGGTGAGTAGTGCACTTAAAGTTTTATTTTACCTTCGTTGAATATAAAATGAGTTTTAACGAGATTGGAACATCAAAATTATTAGAACAAGTAAACCAAAAAGAACTTACCACAATTATTACATTTTAATGACAGACAAACGAGTACGGCCCTACCGGTGGTAAGTTGTTACCCTTGCTCATGGTCATTATGTAATTTTAGGGCTTACTTAAAAATTGTTATTTAAAAAGCTTTTAATTTTGTTTTAATTACATCCATAGGACATTTGGAGATTACTTAATTCTGAAGTAAACATTAGAAGAGGCAGAATTGAGTTACGAAAAATAATAATTATTCCCTCAAACACTTGCGTGCATCCTACACACTAATTGGTCTTGTGAATGGTCACCATAACTCATGCAGTCTGCAATTCTAATAGCAGAGGTAAGCCGATGCTGCCGCTAAGGACTTCTTTCAAATCACGTTGACGTTAAAACGTCACGTTCAAATCTTTCAAGTCACGTTTCAAATTAAGACGGACATACCACACCGGTCTAAACAACGAATGTATGTATACCCTAAACAATTTTTTTTACTAATTCTCTAACCTCATAAAAAAATATAGTGTTTCTTTTAGATTGCGAGCATATAAAGCAAATCTTTTAAAAAATATTATTAATTGTGCTTTACGTAAATCACCCTTATTAGATACAGAGAACTTCAAGCTAAGGTCTTTATTTTGAAGTTGTAAGTATACATTTCAGCTTTAATGTAAGTTCCCTTCATTCGCTCTTTAGTAAAATTATGATTAAAACTACTATTTAAAATTTTAAAATTTTTGACGTTTGAAAATATCATCGAATCTGTGACGCCCGAAATCTCAGAATACAGTATTGATGTATACAGTGTGGATTTATAAAGCACTCAAACATCTGAGCTCCAATGTTTATTCATATTTATTAAAAGCAACCTTCGGTAACAAAAGTCAATCTCGTTTTCCCGTTTAATTTATGAAGTGGGTCGCGATTTTTATACTTAGCACCAGGTGGGCCGTTCGCATCGCCAATAAAAACACTAATATCTTTGATGGTAGCGTTTTTTGGTCGAATTTCAAATTAATTACTAAAAAGTTCTGTCTATATCGTTCATGATTCACTGTTATCATATATTTTACATAAACTAGTGGTTCCCCGGTAGTTGAAATTCGACTATAATTAATTAAAATTATAAGTTTGTACACTATTATGATTCTATAATTACAGATTTCGCCAAGACTACCTACACTTTAGACAAATATAAATAAAAACAAACATTATTTAATCTATTCTCAATTTGACCACAGACTATTAGCAATAACAAAAGTTTGACGGTAAACAAATAGTATGCATGTGTGTGTGTGTCAAATATATGGTAGTGTGTGTTATGTTTTTTTTATTGGTTTAATGTATTTTCTATGCTTAATTTAAAAAAATATTAACCATCTGCACTCCTTCTCTATGTTCTCTATAAGTGTGGGAAATTTCATACTCCTCCGTCCGCGCAATTTTCGTAAAAAGGGGTACAAAGTTTTTGCTTCACATTATTATTTTACATAAATTAAATGAAGCATAGACGAAGAATTGAGAAAGCAGTCAAATTACAACAAATATTAGGCGTCTGCATGTTCGCCTCATTTAGAAGCACTCTCGAAAATGATTGCGGAAACATTTACGGATAAACTTCCTCGATTAAAGTAAATCAGAAATTCTCTAATTTCGTTTAATGGTTCACTAAACTTATTTGGGAGCCATTAAATTCTTTTTTAATTAGTCTGTGGAACTTGTCCCTCTGTTATATAAAAAATCCAAGTTTTGGGCGTTAACTTGAAAGGGAAGAGGAAAGTTAATGGTGATACGAATTTATATTGACTTTTAACTTCGCTAGGATTATTTTTACAAGCCTACATAAATATAATCTAGTTTATATCGGACACTTATAAAGCTTAATTTATTAAATAATTACTGAAGCCCGACTATAATATTCTATCGCTAATCGTCTGAAAAAATTTCCCATAGGTTTTCCAAAAATATTTCATAAATATCGCTAATAAAATTTTTTTTAATAACTATGTTAGCAATTATGAATAAGTATTAAGAAATTATTTTTATAAATACATACATATAAATTATGTATACTCGTAATATAACTCAAAGCTCAAACTAACCTATCTATAGAAAACACTAAAAATAATTAGCCACTCAATTCACAACAAACCCTTATTATAAATTAAGCCACTGCCAAAACGTTATTGTCATATGAAACAAACTTTATCTTAACTTGTAATAAATGTCGTTTAAAACAAAGTTGCTTGTTTCCACAACAGACATATAAGCCACTTTATTTACTTTTATTTCTCTTATTTGCAAAAGCAAACGGAGCTGAAAAATGAGTTGAGTTAAATACGTTCATAAAAGGATTTTTTTTTTTTTGCGTACCTCTTGAATAAAGTATTTCAGTGGATTTTCTACATAGTACATAAAATAAATAGGTGACGTCTTCCAGTTCGCGAGGTCAATTCTTTTCTTAATTAAGTTAGGCTGATATGTTCATAAATAATATAATATTTCAATTAAATAAAATAATCATATGAAAATTACGTAATGCATTAATTGCTACACTTATTCTATATTACATATATGCAGATTTTAAAGATGAAAGCATAAATATAAATTATTTCTACGAGACGTGTAGGAGTGACCATTGTGAAAAGTGCATTGACGCCGTTTCTTAGGTTTAAAATGATTGTGGGTGATGTCGACTAGGTAAGTACGTACCTTTAACGTTGCAACAATTTTATATTCATTTTCATTAAATCTCGACGCTTCAAAGAAAATGCTCCTTAATATCCTTGATAAATACGAATTAATATTTTTATCATTTACTATTATTCTCGCAAATTTATTTTTAGCTCTGTTTACTTAACAAATTATCGAATTCTTCCTTTTCTATATTTTTCGTTGTATTTCAGATATGTATTTGTCACCTTCGTTACTGATTTGGAAAAAAACTACTATAGTTTAATACTAGTGGTAAGGACCTCTTGTGAGTCCGCACGGGTAGGTACCACCACCCTGTCTATTTCTGCCCTGAAACAGTAATGCGTTTTGGTTTGTAGGGTGGGGCAGCCGGTGTAACAATACTGAGAGCTTAGAACTCATATCTCAAGGTAAGCGGCAGTATTTACGTTGTAGATGCCTATGGGCTTCGGTAACCACTTAACACCATGTGGGCTGTGAGCTCGTCCACCCATCTATGCAATAAATAAATAAAATATATAAAAAAAGCTTGAACTCATACCGACAATACTATTATAACTTGGGTCAACATCAAATGTCATATGACAGAATTGTATTTGTTAATAAAAAAGAGAAATAGGAACACGGTCCGGGCCTATTTGATCTACTTACAATAGTTTGTTGTAGTGTTGTAATTGAACTTCACGTTGTTTTGTCTATGAACTCCTAAACCTCACGGGATATATTTAAATTTTGACATCCCAGTCATTTGCCATAGAGACGTTAAAAAATATCGATATTACAGTCGAATTTCGATGCTCTCGATTTTTCAAATTGAACATTACGATTCGTTTTAATCGATACTAATTTATCAAAAAAAATATGTTCGTTTTTTTTTTACCAATAATATATTATCGAGACCGTATAGTTACTGGAGTTTTGCAAAAACAAATCGCATCGTTCCTTTACTTCTGTGATGTCAAGAAATAATTTCTGTAACGTACAACCTAAATGGTACCATTTTTGGTGTACGCCAAGACGTTTTCCTGCTACTCAATCACTCGCTAATGTATGTATTGGTGTTGCGTGTCATTTGCGTAAACGTAGTAGACATTTAATTGAAAAGCGAAGATAAATAATAATTTACCTACCGCTATTTATATGTACTAGAGGTCCCGCAGTAGTCGAAATTCGACTATAATTTATTGGAATTCTATGTTTGTACACTATTATGATTGTATTTTATACTTCTATAATCACAAATTTCGCCAAGACTACACTATAAAAATATTAACAAAGACAAACCATATTCTATTCTCAATTTGACAACAGACGTCAAGAACAAAAGTTTGACAATAATACTATTTATTGTATGTATATGTAATGCGAGCATGCGTGTGTGCGTCAAATACATGGTATGTAGTGTGTGTAATGTTTTCTTTATTGATTTAATGTATCTTTTAGGCATTATTTTAAAAAAAATATTATCTAAATATTAATAATATATTATATAGATAATATAAATATTATCTATATATATATATATATATAAATATATATAGATAATATAAATATTATCTATATATTAATACGTGAAGCAAAAACTTTGTATCCTTTTTTACGAAAATTGCGCGGACGGCGGAAAATGAAATTTTTCACACTTATAGAGAATATAGAGAAGGAGTGCACAATGCTAATAATTTTTAAGAATAAGGCATAAAAGATACATTAAATCAATAAAGAAAACATTACACTCACTGCCATGAATTTGACACACACACACGTATGTATATAAATTATATATTATACTCTTTGTTTATTGTCAAACTTTAGTTAATGCTTAAAGTCTGTGGTCAAATTGAAAATAGGTTAATATTGTTTATCTTTAATATTATTTGTCTATAGTGTAGTCTTGGCGAAATCTGTGATTAGTATAATAGTGTTTGACAATATAACCATAATAATGTTCAAACTTATAATTTCATTATAGTCTAGTTTCGACTACTGCGGGACCAATAGTATGTATAAAAACGCCAATTTGTTGCACTTATACCGCTTTGATGGTCCTATGAACTTTTGACGAACTGCTAACAACAGCTGCACCGATTTTCAAGTCAATAGGATAAACCTTAAGCGAAAGCAAAACCAATATGCAGTCTATCTATTACACATATGTGCTAAGCCTAATAGGTAAGACGTCAAGTATATTTTTAATCAAGTCTTGGATTTCGACGATAAAACAATATCGG